AGATTTCCAAGACAGAAAATAGTAGGCATTAATTCATTGCCACAACAATGCCCTAATGATTTTCCATTAGATGGAAACATATGTTGTGCTTCTAACAGATTCCCTAGAGCTACCTTAGACACTTATACAGTATTTCTGAGTCTGATTCTTCAGTTTTTCTTTCAAGCCTGTGTTCTACTTTTAACTTTCAGATTATAGTTTCCACAAACTAGATAGCTACTTAACTAAGCATCAAGTACTCAAGAAGTCCCTCTTCCCCAGACAAGTCCAAATTCTCAGGATCCACTGCAAGTGTTACCTTCATGAAAATATGCCTCCCATTCCCAGAAAAGTAAGTCTCTTCTACCCTTAAACTCTTTCTATGTAGCATGTGGACTTCCTCAGAATATGCAGAGCCAGGCTTTCCACATGGCAGATGTAATTAAATATTTGTGGAATAAATTTGTTGAATTTTCACAATTTATCACCCAGACTCTGATACTACGGTGCATATAGTCATTTTGTTATTTAAAATCTCAGCAATTTGCATGGAATTGATTTCATGTGCAGAGGTCATAACAGAAAAGACTGGTAAATTTGACTACATACATCTTTTAACTTCACCAAAACAAATTCAAAAGGAAACCCACAAACTAAGAAGACACATTTTCAGGTCAAATCATTGACAAAGAGACAATTTACTTTAAAAGTCTTCCTACAAATGAGAAAAAGACTATCAATTCATAGGAAACTAAGTAATCCCCCTCAAAAACAAAAAACAAATAAATGCCAAGTAGCTCCAAAGGGTATGTAAATATATTCACAGAAAAACAAATGTAAATAGACCTTAAACAAATGAGAACATGTTCAACCTTGTACATGGTAAGTAAAACATAAATTATAACCATCAAATACCAGTTTTTACCCATCAAATTGGTAATGGTAAGAAAAATATTTGATAGGGCTGGAGATTTACCTCAGTGGTTCCCCCCAAGCACAAGGCCCTGAGTTCAATTCCTGGTATCAAAAAAAAAAAATTTGATTAAACTCTACATTAGCAAGAAGCAATGGGCATATATGTTCAGTATTTGTATCCTTTTTTGCACTTCGCTATTTTTACTTACTGACTTTTTTTAGAAATCACATCATCTCAGCATATAATGAGTTTCTTTGGTTGGGTATTTGTTTGTTTGTTTTTGCAGTACTAGAAATCAAACCCAGGGCCTCAAGTATACTACAAAAGCACTCTACTATGAGCTACACCCTTCAGCCTTTTTATTTTTAAACTGGCAACATAGAATCCATATATATATATATATATTATAAATATACCATCATTAA